ATTATTTCATTATTCTAAACCTTTAAGGAAACAGTTCGATGTCCTAAAGCTTAAGATCAGGTTTTGCTTTTCTTGTCTGACCAACCTATAAAAAAATTCCAGGATCTTTAACAAACATCAGAACAGCAGCAAAGCCTTGAGAAGGTGGATGGAGGCAAATTCTGGCATTTTTGATTTGAAAAAAATATAAATATATAATAAATATATATAAATAAAAATGCAATCAACTTCCATTGAGCCTGGTTTTGCAGGAGGTTTTATTTTCCTGGTAAAGTGGAGTTATTTCCATCCACTAGCACCAAAGAGCTGCCCAAAGGGAATCCCTGCATTTGTTGGGGTTCTTTTTTTAATCATACAGTATTATTAGGCCTTCATCTTGCTGTGTGAAGCCTCCTTAAGATGAATGAAATCTTATGACAAAACAACATCTCTAATCGATTTAATGAAACTATTCGTCACAACCTACCTGCAGAGACGCAGCGTCCTCCTCAGTTTCTTTCCTCGGTCTCGGCTGCAGGAGGATTCGGAGGTCATTCCTACTTTCGGTTATCTAGCTTTATGATGGATGATTAACACTCATACAGCTAGATAACCAAAGACAGGAACAGGCTCCGCGGTTTGCCAGAGCAGCAAAGAGGAACGTCTTCCTGGAAACGTAGAAAACAAGGCCGGCGTTAATGCACGTCTCAGTACAAGTTTGCCCCAAAATCCTTCCATAACTCGATAAATTAAACCATTTTGAGTTTATCCAGTGATGTGCGGTGATAAAACTATTGCACATGTGCACGCTCATGTTGCATTTTGCTATTTTTCTGGTGCAACTTGTTCGTTTTCGGACCTCTTGCCGGCTTTTGAGCTCTGCTGCCTTTCACACTTTTGCAACAAGCTTCAATATTTGCAAAGAAAACTGCTTTAATTATGCAATCAGCTCATCATGATGCTGTTTCTTGGAGGCCCTTACAGCAAAACCTTCACTGAGGAATCTTCAACAATTAGTCTGAACAGTTTTCCACCATCGTTATTATTTCCTCCTGCTTTAGTCGAACCTGCCACACATCCATCAAATCCAAAGCATGCAAGGTCACTGTGTCACACACTGGCATCCACATTTATTTTACAGGAATCTAAACATTTACTCAAATTAACCTCCTGCTGACCCCCACGCTGCTCTCACTCAGTGCGTCTGACGTCAGAGCTTTTAATTGGGAAGTGGATGCACTGACGAGGCGTGCGTCACGTCCAATAGGAAACACTGACAAATAACAGCACAATTATCCCAGCCTTGGAATAAAAATTAGGATTTTAAAATGACTTGGTTTTGTCTAGGCTGCATGTGGCAAATTTTTAAACAAGCATCACACGTGGATGAATCTCACACTGTTGTGTTTATGGGCTCGTGCACAGAGCAGGCCTCCACATCCACACACTCACAATAAAGATCCAGTAAACCGGGATGGATTTGCTTCATTTTAATGAGAGAGATGCGTTCATGTAAACTAGAATTTGGTTTTGTGTGGGTTTAAATATTGCAAACATCAGGGTTAAATTAATGCCCGTAATAATCCCGAGTGTTCCTCCTGCAGTCTGACAATGAGATGCATTCATTTAAACACGTCTGGAGATCACATTAGCAGCTTTTCATGTGTGGAAACAAATTGAGCAGCACTGAATCCAGGAACACTCACTTCTCGTGGTCCTCCTCCTTCTCCTCCTCCTCCTGCTGCTGCATTCACGGACACTTAAAACATCCACATGTGGTTAAAAACGCAGGGCTCCAGATGTGCATGAGAGTTTGTGTGCAGACAAACAGGTGAGCGCGTGGATCAGGTCGATAAATCCCCATCTGCACGGCGGGCTGTGGACGGATCCCCCCTGTCGGATCGCGTGTTTGTATCCGTGATCAGGAGGCTTCCCGGCGTCCGAGCCTCTGAGCCTCCATCAGCCGGATGGTCCAGACGCGGTCCAGGCGGTCCCGAGGATGCGGTGTGTCCCCCTGACAGACACTCCAGTGGTCTCCTCTCACCTCCTCGCTGCCTTTTTCCCCCTCACTGCTTCCTCCTCCTCTGGGTTGCGTCACGCGGACGGTAAGTTGCCGGCAGCCAATCAGAGGCGCTCCAGCCGAGTGTGCGTGTTTGGGGGGTTCGGTGGCCTGCAACACACGCACACACACACACACACACACACACACACACACACACTGTAGAGATGTAACAAAACAACAAAATAACTAGAAACACAGTTAAAGCTTGAATCGTTTCCTGCTCTGCTCTGTAAATCCTAAATAAGTTAATTCAGGTTTAAGAATGTGAGTTAACTGCACTTCGGTTGATTTATTAGTTCAAAGTCATCCTATTTGTTGCTAAAATGTAAAACCAGCTTCGTTAATTTAACACAATTTGAGAAAACAAGTTCAGTAAACTTCAAATATTGAGTTGAATCAACTTGTCTGACTTGTTTTCATTTTACATTTAAGTTTAAAGTGGCCAGAATCAGAACAAACACAATTTAAAAAGCTGCTCTTGGATATAAGAAACATTCTAAGTTTAGTTAAGGGACTGAAATGATTATTAACTTTGTCAGTGTTGGAATTGACTTATTAATATGCAAAAAATTAACTATAACTATAAATTCAAAATGAAAAAAAAGTGTTTTCAAAAATAAAAATAGATATTGTAAGTTTAATTTACTAAAAAATATATAAAAATGCAAACTCATATTTTCATTTAACTCAAAAACATGAGATAAGTTTTCTATTCTGGAACATTCCCTTCACGCTTGTCTCTGGCAATAACAAAAATAAAAGAGGTGATAGATTGTTGTTCATTTCTCAATTAGAAAAACTGAATTTTTAAATTAAATTACATGATCTGGTAATATTCAACCTTTTCTTTCTTTCTTTAAGGATGTGCTGTTAGCAGAGCCAGTCAGGAACCATGTCTGGAACTAACCCTAAACCCACATGTTGCTTTATCATCTATTCCCCAGTAATTAGGCTAAGCCACTATACAAAACTGCCAAGTGTCTGGTTCTAGCGCCACCCAGTGGTTGTAAAGACGAGCACACTGTGGCAGCTCATGACTGACTGATAAACATCACAGCTCTCCACAAACATGTGTTGTGACTCCTTTTTTTTCTCCTGTTTCGGAACAACTTACAATCAGTATAGATGGCGGCTCATTAAAGTTGTGCTCTGAACTTCTCGGAGTTATTTAAGATAGAAACAGCAGTTTAAACTTCCAAGGCCTTGAGACACAATGGTCTGCATTATACACAATAATTATCATTGAATTATGACAGAAAACAAAAACCTGAAACAACTTTTATCTCCTGCACCACTTCTCAGGAATACACTTCCAGGTGCCACCAGGTGCCTTCTAGTGAATTTACTTATTCTTCAGTGCAGGACGGTGTTGATCTCATTTTGTTGAGTTCAGTTTTCTGTGACGACGGGACTTTAGAAGATGCACCTTTGTTAGACAACAGTCCTATCAGAACAGTTGCACCTCTGTTCCAGGGTTTCATGCTGCTCTGCTGAGGCGTTTGTATAATTTAATTTCCC